TTAAATTAATTACAAAAAATACAATAATATTAATAAAAAACATTTTTTGCAACAATATTAAAATAGCTTATGTCAAAAAAGTATTTGCACACTCAACTCAACTTTAGCAAATTTGCATTTTTATGCTATTATTTGACAGTCATCCCGCAGTAAATAACATACGTAAAACGAATACCAGATACAGTGTTTGTCGAAACGTTATCAGTTGATTGTCGATTTCAAATTGTAATGGCACATCTAAGAAATCTTGAATTGCCGATTTCGTTGCGAGAAAAAAAAATTGTTTCTCTACGTGAAAATGGCCTAAGTTATCGAGAAATAGGTAAAAAAAGTAAATGTTTGCTTCTCTACTGTTCGGTATGTTATAAAACGTTATAAAGAAAGAGGATCTACATCAAATAAATTGCGCTCTGGACGCCCAAAGAAACTTTCACTGCGAATGAAGCGAAAAATCATAAGAGAAGCATCAAAAAATTCATTTGTTAGTGCAATTTCTTTAGCCAATGATGTCGCTTCAACATCTGGAGTTCAAATCTGTGCCCAAAGTGTTCGAAATGTCCTGCACGATGCACACATTTATGGGAGATCTCCAAGGAGAAAAAACCTCTCATAACTGAACGAAATAGACTGAAGAGACTTGAATTCGTTAAGGAATATATCAATAAGTCAATTGATTTCTAGAAAAATGTCATATTCTCCGACGAGAGTAAGTTCAATATCTTTAAATCAGATGGCAGGAAATTAGTTTGGAGAAGAACTTGTACTGCTTTTCATACCAAAAATGCGTTACCTACAGTTAAACATGGAGGTCATAACAGTTAATCTGTTATGATTTGGGGGTGCATGGATAGCAAAGGAGTTGGTAATTTGTGTTTCATTGATGGGAATATGACAGCTCGAACCTATATTGATGTGTTGCGAGATAATTTACCACAAAGTGCAATAAAATTGGGTATCAGTAATTAGTACTATTTTCAGCAAGGCAATGATCCCAAGCACACCGCCGGTATAACGCGTATGTGGTTGCTTTATAATGTACCCAGAAAACTTGCCACTCCACTACAATCACCAGATTTAAATCCTTTGGAAAATTTGTGGAATTCTTTGGATTTAAAAATAAGAAAAAGGAAGATTTCATGCAAATCTGCTCTTAAACAAGCCCTTATTGAAGAGTGGTCGAATACTGACCCTACTGTTACAGAAAATTTAATTAAATCAATGCCAGCAAGATTACAAGCAGTAATAGATGCTAAAGGAATGCATACTAAATATTAGTTATTTGAAATTTGCTTATATATTTTATTTCTTTTGTATTCATGCAGGTGTGCAAATACTTTTTTCATATGAGATATTTTAATTTTGTTACCAAAAAGCATTGTTATTTATATTATTGTAATTTTTCTGTTTGTTTTGGATCATTAAACTTATTCTGATTTGGCAATACCAATTTTTTTAATTCTTATTGCTTCTTTTTATGAATTGCAAACAAAAATGTAGGTGTGCAAATACTTTTTTTTACCCACAGTATGCCGGATTTTATTTCTAGGTGAACAGGCTGGTTGCATGGTTTTATGGTTTTCCCCACGTGTAACGTGAATACGAGCCAGTTTTCTTACGAAAAGTCCTCCACGAAGGCGTTCCTGCCTTAGATTAAAAGCCCTCGTTTGCCTTAACCTACGGAATTACAACTTAATTTTTAACTCAAAATGAAACGCTGCATTGTTGTATAAAATTACTGAAAAAATTCAAATGCTTTTTGCCCTGATAGCTACCATTTCAGCTATTTCCAAAATAAGGTTCTAAGTTTATAAATAAACACCTGGGCAGTCTACAAGCTCGTAAATCACTTAACAGCATCACAGTATAAATGAAACCTTCCGCAGATCCAACAGGGACTAGTTTCCATGACACGACAGCAATGCAGTGAGATCTCCAATAAGTTAAAATTAAACTCTTATATTTAAACTACGCTTCATGCTTTTAATTTTGCGTAACTTCCTGACATGAGCAAATATTGTGACACTAAACCAAGAAAGAAAGAAGGTCTGCAAAAACTTAGGAATAATTGTCACACACTCTGTTATAAGTATATTCTTAATCAGTTACGGCAAGTGGCAACATAAGCTGCATCTGAATTCAATTACTGAAAAGGAAATTTTCAGTTAACAAAAACAAAATTTTCTTTCAATTTTAAAGACAAAATAAATTTTACAACAGTTTCCTAGCACAGAAGTTCAATTTTGCACTCAGTTGCAGAAGATTAATATAAATAATTGCACCAATGGACACTGAAAACTTTAATAAATGAGCATATATTTTCAGATTATCCTTTAATTCTGACAAGCACTGTATTTTAAAAATCTAAAAAAACTAAAATAAAAAAGCTTGAAAAATATTTAGTTAAAAAATATTTTTATGCATTTCCGGTTGCGTATATACAGGGTGATTTGCTACTGCGTACCCCAACTTCTCATAAACGTTAATCAGGATCGGACAGCAATGTATGGTCTGAAACCCTATTGTCTTGTGCTAGCGCACAGAGAATATGAGAGATGAAAATGCAATATATAAGTGAGGAACTCTGTTTTATTAATCAAAATGTAAAAGCTGCCATATTAAGGAAAATCGCAGAAGGCATTCGAAGTTTCGTTCGCTAGCGGCAATACAAACCTGCAGTCAGCGATGTACGGAATCGCTGAAGTTTTTAAATATTCTTGGCATCTCTCGAATGGTCTCGGCAGTTACTCAGATGAGAATGAGAAAATCGGTTTCACTACTCATGAGTACCCGAAATCTTTCAGGTGACTCTAGAAAAAAACCTCCTTTGAGGATAGGTCCGACGCTGACGAATGAGACCATCATGCCCGATTTACTATTCCTGAGTACCCGAAACCTTTCAGGTGACTCTAGAAAAAAACCTCCTTTGAGGATAGGTCAGACCCTGGCGAATGAGACCATCATGCCCGATTTACTGCTGTCGAAAGGTCGCATTGTGTCGCAAGTGTTCCTGACCGAGATGATTGAAGGGAGCTGAAGAGCCATCAGGCTGAAACCAACTATGCACAGCGATTTCTATGTCTGTGATCATTCAACAGTTCAAGTAAGACTTACTACAAAAAAATCTTAAAATACCTTTTGTCCAAACGAACAGGCAGGAAATACGGGTCAGTTAAGTATCCCTCACAGTGCCGGACCAAACATTGACAGCAAAACCGATGACAGAGAAAAGTCAGCGAAAACAGTTTAAAATTGACAGCTTAAAATTGACAGCTTAAATTGACAGTTTAAAATCAACAATGCCGGACCAAACATTGACAGCAAAACCGATGACAGAGAAAACTCAGCGAAAACAGTTTAAAATCGACAGTTTAAATTGACAGCGAAAACTTACGTGCTACACGAATACCTCAGCCCCCTTTCTGTGAGCCGTCTATGAATGGTCCTTGCGGTCACTGAAGCCCTAGTGCCGTACAATCGATGATCATGATGCATCTGGGGCTGTGAATGCCGCTCTGACGATTGCTCGGTCTTCACTTTCTATCGTTTTTCTGGGCTTCCTTCTTGACGCTGTGTGCGGCCATGGTTCACCCACGCACCTGTATGCGAGGCATAGTTACTCTCTACCAGAATACACGGAATGAAATTCGTGAAGAATTTATGACCTGGAATCGTAATGTCTCCTCTTAAATATCCTGCCAGTTGCGCAGATCAGATGCGCTGTAGCGACAACCGTTCATTCATTGACAGCCAAAATGTAAAATTTAGCATTTTCGCCGAAACCTGTATGCATATCAATTTGTGTCCAATTTGCTTTATATCTTCTTGGTATGTCGTGGTGCGTCGTTTTTTTTTTTTTTTTTTTTTTTGTCTAAGAGTGTATAACAGCATAAGGGTTGTCTAATATAATGGAAATACTCTGCTTAAAAATACATTTTTTTCTATCGATTATATAGTACTAGAAATTACGTTTTAGCATGATTATTTCATACATTATCTTAGGGTTATGTAAAATTCAAAATTTCGGCTGTGACTTGTAAAATTTAAATTGTACTGAAAGAAAATGAATTATTTGACTAAATTCCAAATTGATCAGTTTGTTGATGTCATGGTCGTTGATTGTGGGAGGTAAACGAAACTCATTGACAGAGCCAGAAGAGCGTTAAAGAGGATTATTACGTCAAAAAGTAAACCTGTTAAGAAGAAGGCGACGGGTGAGCTCAGTATGCATTTACAGCACACGGGTTAGAGAGACACAATACGAAAGAACCGAAGTAGAGTGTTTACGTCAGAGCTGCTGTCTTAAAATCTCTTATTTCAGAAAGAAAAGCAGCAACGATGCCAGGAGCACAAAACGTGAAACGTTGATCAGTGAAAACATGTACTGACTTTAGATGAGTGAACCTTAACGCTTTCTCAGGATAAGAACACCAGCAGAAACCTACAATCCTGCCTACAGTATAACATGGTGGTGTTTCAATTATACTTCAAGAAATTAAGTCGTGATTTGCAGCAGGTTCTGTTATCAACTTATAGTAAGGATAAATATCATTTAATATATTTTAAGCAGTCATGTCCGTTGAAATGCACAGCTGCTTATGGGTAGTTGCACTTTTAAAAAAGATAATTCTCCCATTCACCGAAGTCTAATTGTTCAATCGCAGTTTGAAAAAATGAGGATGAAGTCATACATCTTCCTTGTCCTGCACGATAACAAGATTTAAATATCATTGGAAAACGTTTAGTCTCCTCTTGAAACCAGGGATCTCAGTTTCCTCTTTCAGTACCTCTCAAAGAATCGGAACAATTTGTAATGGATGTACAGTATAAAATAATTTAAAAACCCTAATTCAGAACTTACATGCCTCTATTCCAAAGATTTCAAGTAATTATGTATATGAAAGGTGCTCCTGCACTATACCTTTAAATGTTTCTATTATTTTGGACAACATTTGTAGATAATATATTGGGTATATAATAATGTGAAAGGCTTTTCAACTTACATCTTGCGCTCGAGATACTTTACTAATACCATCAGGATGATCCCCGCAGAAAACAGCTGTAAATGATACCGCAAATACGGCCAGACAATATAGAATCTGAAATAAATGAATATGAAATGAGCCATTTGCAAAGAAATATTGATTTCTAATAATAATTTTTAGAAAAAAATTTTAAATGCTAAAAATTTTCGCTATTCCTAAATTGTCTTTAGGAAAAACTTTAATTTACTTTTTCAACAAAACAGTCTTAATACTAATAATTTATCTTGAAAATAATAGATTACGAACTGCTATTATTTATCACAGCAAAACAATATCGGGTTTATAACTGCCAGAAGATACTTTTGTTCGAAAAAAATGCATTTTTGGATATTTTCCTTTATTCACTTTAATTTTCATGTTTTTCCACCTTTATATTACTTGATTACAAACTACATTTTCCTCTAATAACAGAAGCTTCAGACATTGGGAAAGCTTTGTATGACAGTAAGGGGAATTATGGAAAGACAGACTGATTAATCTCCTTGCCTTAGCAGTTAGATACGTTTACGCATAAGCAGTTAAATATGCATACGTTTTTAAATGTGATCTAAATCTCACAATAACTATTTTGAAATTAATAATTGCATCATTTATACATAATGTATGTTATTAGCAAATCTGAATGTGAAGTAAAATACGAACTGCTTAAAGAAGAAAGAAAAAAAATGACGCTTGACCTTTTTCTTTGAAGTGTGCCTGATGCTTTGTGTATACAGAATCTGTTTGTAGTATTTTCGTTTTTTCAAATTATAAATAAAGCAATGAAACAATGCACAACCCAGGTTGTGGGTTTTTAGTTTTAGCTGGTTTTTCGTCAAACAACACCGAAAAATTCCGAAGTAAATATAATCTATGCATGCAAAATCGTAAATCTATTTTTTTCACACTTTTTCTCAACTACAAGGTTATCATTTCACTTTTCGATTTTCTATACCGTTTTATTTACCTCATTTCGAAGGCCAGTCTTGTACAACACGCCTCAACTGTAGTTGTTCCTCTAACCTTGATTTCAGTGTTTTAGTGAAAGTTTGGCATCTAAGTACAGCTTTAAAAAAAAAAAAACAAAAAGAGGACCACGCCTTTTTTGTAAGTATTTCGGATGGGTAGCTTTGGTCAATAGATTCTTTCAGAACGTCGTAACTGCCTAACGTTTCCTTGATAGGCTCTTTGTGGAGTTTAAATGGATTATGAATGGCCTGAAGGCAACGTTTTGTAGCTGATGTAACTACTTTCTAACTGCACTTTAACTCAGCGAATGACGCAAAGCATTGTTTCCTTTTATCGAGAGGAAGTCGTTTTTGTTGTGAAATCTTTGCACTGGTGGATAAGCGTTTGTGTTTTGTACAATCGTGTAACAAATGGATTTCTCTTGTATATATACAGTATTGTATATTATACAGTAAAATATAATAAACCTATGCGGTTTGTTATATTTTACTGTATAATATACAATCGTCTTAAAAAGCAGGAACAAATCTGATACTTATATGAAACTGCATTCGATCGAAACAAATTTTCAAAAATATCTTACACATATTAGAAACTAATATTAACGTTATTTAAGTGCATTTACTTAAAATTAAAATTATTAGGTTTTGCTTAAATGTATCAGATATGAGTATTGAATGATAATAATGAAAAGAATTACATCTACGAGTATTAGACAATAAACTATTTGCACTATATTTTTTTAACTTATTTTTCATTACATCATTTTTATTGCACAGCTATTAAGAGTTTCTTTCAGCAGTCATTTTGTAGAGCTTTTAGGAGTCTTCGGAGCAGAAACCATGAAAAATTAGCTAAGTCCTTGCGGGATGCGAAAATTCATTAAAAATTTACAAATCAGAAAAATATTTATTACAGGAATACAAAAGTGTTATGCTAAGAGAGATGCTTTACACATTCATGATATATTTAGTTTTCTCAGTTAAAATGTTAAGACCATTGGGAATGTACAAAATGTGTGTAGATACTAAACTGCTTCATGATTCAAGTGGACGCAGACCAATTAAAAATGTTAAATTTTCTCAAGAAAAACACCTTCAGGCTTCACGTGGCGCCGAAGTATAAATAAGCATAAAAGTAAATCATATCTGTATAAAATCATCTACAGTCCAGTAAATTTAGCATTGCAGAGAAACATGATATGCCGCATTTCATGTTTGCTTTCAGCATAATGCTGGAAAATATAATCAATGCAAAAAATCCCATACAATATAACTCTAGCTGTGGTGGCATTCCTCCCAAGAAACGGAGAAAAATGAGAATTAAAAATTTGAATTCCTTAACATGCAAATGAAAATGCTTTGATACAATGATATTACATTGATGCAATAATTTTCCTTAATTGTGAATATACAATATTATTTGTTACAAAAACTTAGTAATGGTTCTGATGATTCATTAGTGCATAAAAACCACGAAGCAACAGCATCGTTTGCATTTGAAAAACCATCATATTCCCAATGCTTTCTTATTCATTATTTCTTATTTCCTGTACTTCAGTATTAATGATTTCAGTACCCAAATCATAATCTACACTTACTATAAATTGCTTTTCCTCTATTATTATTTCTTTTTCTCTAGCTTACTTTGTTGTAAAAAACGTAAAATATACATATAGTTTAAAATTTGGGTTAGTCTATTACTATCTACATTATAAATAAGACTTCTGGTCAACAGCAAACTACTGGTAGGCAAATTTGAAGTAAGGTGAAAAAATTACATTAAGCGAATTTACAACTGGCCGGTATGCTGCATTACAGACTTTTATGTATTTCAAGAATCAGTTATATATTTTTTTAGTAAAGTATTTAATATACATGCAGTTTATATCGAGGAAATTTCTTAGCAAAATAAATAAATGTAACAGGAAAATATTTGGCATAAACAGAAACATAATTCTGAATTTGTCCTACTGATGCCATAATGAAATTTCAGTGATGTAGCCAGGAAGGAAGAAGAGGTAACATTTTGCCCCGGGCGCAGCCTCTAAGAGGTGCTAAATTTATGTTACCAAATTTTAAAATGAAATGCTTTCCATTCTTGACAAACAGGAGGGGGCGCAGAATCTTCAGCTGTCCCCGGGAGATGAAATCCGTAGCTGCGGCTCTGTGAAATTTAGTCTCAGTTAAAAAAAAATAAAGCATAATATTATCTACGCATTTTATTCTAGAAAAAATATGCATAATAGTATTCCTAAAACACAAATTTTGTATTTTCACGGATAAGATATAATGAATTAAGAATTTAAAGCACGGCTTGCTTGCTATTAAAAGTATTTGTTGCTGAAAGCAAGTAGTGAAATGTTATTTAATTAACCCTCGTTCGTTTTCCTGTTTTTCAGCTCTAGATTTAAGACAGACGAGAAATTTGTTAAAATGAAATATTAAATCACAGAAAAGTACTCAAGTTTTGTAAATAAAATAAAATATTTGCCCCTCCCACCTCAATAAAAAGGTTTTGGAAAGAAATATAGAAAATTCAAGAGATGGGACGAATCTTAAATCTTACAGAATCCGAATTCTAGGGAAAAAAAAAAAAAGACGCTTTTACGTTTGCTTTTCTTTTTCATCCTTGACAGTAGGCATTCGAACAACCTTTTTTCAATACAGGAAAATAGATAATTTTAAAATTTTATGATTATTTTGATTTAAATATATGGAAAAGTTTTCTTATTAAAGCTAAATGAACAATTGTAATTAAATATGCTATTTATCTGAACCGCAAACAAAAAAATCGACTCAGATTATAAAGTCTAACAGAATATATTAATTTTAGTAATAATAAATTTCTGTAATGCAAATGTTAAGATGCATTAACTTTGACTTATGAGATCATTCTGCTTTTCTGAAATAGAGAGGTAACTTCATAAGGAATTGGAACAAGAAAGAATTTCAATGTTTAAAACTTTAGAAATTTTGGCATTTAAATATAAACGTTAGCAGCTTGATATATAATATACAAATGATTGGGAAAAAGTTCTAACTTTAATTTGAGAAAGTCCCTTAACGCTTCACTTTAATTTGGGTATTTACCCTTTCTGGTCTAAAAATAGTAAGTGCTTGTTATAAACATCTCTAAGCTGTGCTGTTTCAAAATTAGTAACCAGTATGGCTTTTACACGACGCCGGTGAGGCTTTGCAATCTGAAACTCAAACAGCCAATCATAATTTTAGCGCCTTATTAATTACTCAATCAAAAAATATCAAAATCGAAATTAAATAACTCTGAACTAAAATTTTGTCTTGAACATATCGCACTTGTTTTCTACTTTTCTAACTAGTTAGACTCCCTGCCGCTACTTCTTATCTTAGCAATATCAAAAATGTAAAAGTTCTCGAACAAGAGCGTTTATTTCTGCGTTGGTTTATTAAAATGTTTGGTTAACGATAAATAAAAAGAATTATTCAAATCTGGCTACGTCTGTAAGTTTCTTCTTCTACTGTCTTCAACATATCTAAATTATTATTATTGTTATTATTATTATTAATGTATTCTGACATTTTACAAAGACTGAACTCAGATACTAAAGGACTTAAAAAATCATATGCATTTTGTTACCTGTTAATTAAATTCCATATTTACTTATGCCCACAGCCGCAATATTTATTTTATTAATTTTACCTCTTGAAATTTGAAAGAGAAATTAATGAGCTATGCATCGTTTCTGAAAAGAGAATTAAAGAAAGAATTTTGTAAATTAAATTATATATGAACAGATGTGAGCTGCTTGTAAGTTCGTAAACATTTCTAAAACTCCTAACCAACAATTTACGCAACTCATTGCAAATTTTATTACTCAAAAATAGAGGCAAATTCGTTCCGTTTTTCTACATTTTCATAAACGCTCAATGTGTTTGCTCACTTTTGTTCGCACTGCAAACATTTGTGTATCACTGGTAAGAGTGCCGGAACAACAGAAAAAGCTGACTATAGCGAAAAGAAATATTTCAGTGCAAATAATGATGATCAACGTTTTCACAAAACATTTTTCAGCTCACTACCTTGCAGATCCTTTCGAAATATCTCAGTCAAAACTGTGTCGTGACAAATTGGCATGCCTTAGGGACGCAATAGTTTACCACACGCAGTCCA